TGACAACCCCTCATTCCATGTTGGTATAACCAGAGCTGTAGCAGCAGAAGCTGTGGCATTTGGTAGAGTAAGAATAGCTAATTATAGAAGTGGTATCTGTTGAAATGTATCTTGAATTGATTGCAAAGCTGTCGTGTCTGTACCTTAAGCTTTGGTCTGCTTATGTTGGCAAATGGGGGGCTGGTTTTACCTATCTGAAAGCAATTAAGCGTCCTCTCTATGGCTGGAGTTGGAGCTGCAGCAACACCAGGCGTGGAGGATCAAGCAAGTTGCAGCGTAGCAAGTCACATGTACTAAGCCAAGGTCTGGGCTTTCGTCTAGATGAACTCTAGCAATGACGCAACAGACGGTAATAAACGGGGGCTTTCTCATTGGCTGCGCAGTATGATATCAACAACATTAGATATTGTTGTGACTCGATATCAATACAACATATCTTGATGGTCATACCTTTACAGATTGATTGTGCTCTCTTCATTTGATACTCAACAACTGAACCGTCAGCATGGCTCCTCCCAGTGGATGTTGGTGGATACAGGCGTCTACACTGCCGAACCGGACATGACTCCACTACAGCTACCGATTTACAGCTCCACAGAGTCTATTTCGTCTCTGTTGACTGTTGACTGTTGACTCGATTAAACGTCTTTACATACTTCAATACCGTCCTCTAGCTTTTATTCTGGCAATTACAACTCAAGTACTCATGAAATACCCAAAACTTGTTTATATCATGACAGCCCCCAACACCTAAACTGCTCAATAACATGCAGCTAATTCCCAGCTAGTCTAGAATCTCATTCCCGTCTCACCCCCGGTCGTCATCGGAAACCAAACAAGGGTCGTTTGAGACTAGGACATTGAAGTCCTTGAGATGATACAAGGATAAACTACTGTACGTAACAAATGGGAAATATTCTTCTTCACCGGGCGTCTAAAGTAGTAGCCATCGTCTAATTAAAGCCGCAACACTGGTCCGTGTTCATATCTGATATCCTCGGTTATGAGACTTTCAACGCGTCACTTGTGAGGATGCCGTGGAACATAATCCGAGGAACGTGCAACTTTGTTGAACTTGGTCAAGATATTGCGCAGATGTATTCGCTCACAGGTAACTTGGGCACAGAGTATTCATCTTCACATGCAAACTGTCTCTCATAGCCAACCTTCCCAACAATAGATATCCTACCAGTTCAAAGCGGCCCGTTTCTTCCAACGTAATCTGCAACATGCTGTAAACGCTCAACAACGAAATACACCTATCAAACCACGAGTGGGTTCACTCTAAGCCCTGAAACTGAGCCTCAACCCAAGATACCTGGTCATGGTGGTGTCTCTAAAAAGACAAGGTGTGGAATCGGGAAATTCCATCATGGCTCAGTACGCTCTTGCAAGTCCGGTACAGAATCCGAGGAGGCTTACTCCGAGGAGAACGAATCCGAAATAAATACCGATAAGCAGACCGCTAGACCTATCTTATCACAAGGCAATAATGAACAAGCATGTGAATTGGGTTGGGGCTTCAACAAATGTCTGGTCCTTGTCTCCAACAGAGAAAAGAAATAAATAAAAATTGGAGTTGAGACATGAATCAAATTCTCATGATGGAATGAACCCCAACCCCCAAAGATGTTCAGCCCTGTAAGATTGACCCCAAAATCACGATATTTGTTCTCTTTTTCTTTTTTGCAGTGGTTAGCAAGACATGTTGCCGTCTCAAATCTCTCGTGGCTTCACTGGTATCTTTGGTTTCACATGTTTATTTGCTCTAGAGTTTGCTGGATAGCCCCTTGGGCTTTGATAACGAACAGGTGGATACATGTTGAGGCATCATGACAATGGCCGTTTAGAGTATTTGGGGGTTTGAAACCAGCACTCACCACAATTTGTTACGCCATGATACGGTAAGAAACGGGTATCAACGCTTCACAACTTTGCATAGAGTTTCTGTCGTAAGGATTCTCTACAGGGTTACTCCATCTCATCCCCCAAAAGCACTCCATCTTCATGATATATTGATACCAAGGCCCCCAGATTTCTCCGCCAAACTCACCCGGTTTCGACCGTAATGCTTGGCGGTTCATTACGTCTCCAACAATGCCAAGAATCATGCCTCATCTAAAAAGGGTCTTGTTGTCTAGTTGGTCGGAGATGTAAATTTTGTAACGTCGTATCCCTTGAGCTATGTCCTAGATAACATGCTAGTAGGGAGCTGGTTGGTGATTGTATAAACCGGGTTTTGATGTGCGAAAACACCAATTACCCCTACCAAAAATATGTATTTCCTTTTCTTTCTCTAACCCAACCGAAACATTATTCGATACTGATAATCCATGCTTTGTGATGTCTTGTCTGGCTCAACACCAACTACCAAGTGGGCCTCCGGACTTTAACTTGCGAGAATACACTCCTTTTTGTTCCCTTGTCAGCGATCCATGCAGTCTAGATCCACACTCTCCAACGATATTTCACTGATTTGATTGATGTTTTATGTCGTTACTTGCCTTGTAACTTTGTCACGGTAACTAATCGGCATCTCATCGAACCGAGCCGCATGGGGAGCCTTTCGGATCACGAGATGGAGCAACGTGCATTGACTTCTAAAAAGTTTCTCGGAAAACAAGGGTCCTGATGATTCTTTTACTTGATTTACGGCTTATAGTGACAGCATAGTCTATTTTGCATGTTAAAACCTCCATCTTGTCAAAGAATTAGGACTTATATCATCTAGGCCCGAGGTTATGATGAGAATGCACTTCATTTATATCACTCTACCAAGCGAAAGCTAATATCACTGCCAAGAAGGTAACCTTGCAGGTAGAGATGATGAGCTATTAAAAATATTACTACCGAACACTGCCGCGGGTATCTTGACATAACAAAGAACTATGAATGACGTATCAACATGCGTGTGAACCCAATATCAAGAAGAGCAGTATGGACATCCTCAAAGAGTACGTCTCGGTCGATATCCGAAGACGTGTAAGTTCAATGTTCAAGATGTAACGGAGATACAAAAGTAAAGTTTCAATTACAGAGGATCCCTCGGTTTGATCGTGGAGTTTAAGTAGACTCATGATGCCTTGTGTTTCTTCGTAGGCATCATGACTGAGCATACACATTAGCTTTACTAACTGGCAATTATCCAGAACTTTGGGCAAGAAAGCCTCCATGGTTACGACTCTAAGAGTAGCAACGCATGAGTAATCTACCGAAATACTGTATTTATTTTGTTATATAACGATATAAAAGGCAATTTGGTTCATGTCAGTCGATCTCCCGTATGCATTTAAAGTGAACCCCACTATCGCAATATGGAAATGGGTGAAGCAAATGTCGCGGACCTAGCATTTGTTTTCGCACTATGCTTCGCAACCTTACTACCCCACAGTCATACAGTTATCGCGTTATCGCTCGCACTCAAAAGTTTTATTGCAGCCCCGATATAGAACTTTTTGCGACACAGCAGAAGCCATCGTCAACCACCATAAAAAAGACCCAACAATGCCCAAACGAAAGCGCGGAGAACCCAATCTTGGGGAGAAGCTTGAGAAGCATTGCAACGATGTTTCCAAGGCACTCAAAGCCGCAAAGGGTCTAGAGCGCCAACGATACAGCAAAAGACTTCACGAAGATGGAGTCGAGCCCGAGAAGAAGGAAAGATTGGAACGAGAGGTGACTGTCCTAAAGGTAAGAATCGTCCACATTTATCGCATTCACATTTTTCTAACTTGGGGGTTTAATAGTCGCTTGATCTTCATCAAACCGCTCGCGCTCACTTGTACTCGTCGATCCTCAAAGTCAAGGACCTCGCCGCATCGCCCCAGCTTCCCCAAGAGATCCGTACTGGCGTTCCCAAGCCCGAACTCACACCCGAAGAACAAGCTGCTCTGCACAATGTCACCAGCGGACTGTACAACCGCGAACTCGTCAAGCAAGCCGTCACTCGTGCCATCACCACATTTTGTCAGGCCCTCGACGTTCCTCCACCCGGAAAGGCGAAGCGTGTGCGAAAATCCAAGAAGGAAGAAAAAGAGGAGCAGCCATGCGACAGGATAGAAGAGGAACCCAAGCCAGAGTTCAAGCAAGACGTGCGCGCATCGATCGAGAAGGAAGAGGAAGAGGCTGAATCGGAATTCGAGGGTTTCTCGGATCACGATGATGATCCTGCTCAGGAACCTGAGGATGTTGATAGCGAGGATGCAGCGGACGAGGAGAAGGCCTTGTCAAAATACGATCATTTACTAGGCGGATCTTCAGATTCAGATGACGATGATGATTTCGATCTTGAGAGATACGCGCAATTCAAGGGCAAGGAGCAGGTGAACCTCGACGACATTTCTGACGGTGGCTCAGACGCAGCACCCAGTCTCGGTTCCGGCTCAGAATCAGAAGAGGAATCAGGCGAAGAAGAGAAACTCTCCATCTCAGCATCCCCTTCACCGCCGCCCGCAAAGAAGAAGAAGAGCAAAGAAAAGGCAGCACCCGCCAGACCCACCACCTCGACTTTCCTACCTACGCTCATGGGCGGTTACATCTCCGGCTCCGAGTCTGCCTCAGACGTTGACGTCGCGCCTGCTAAGAAACGTCTCGGCCAAAAACAACGACAGGCTATCTGGGAAAAGAAATTCGGCAACAAGGCCAAGCATCTGCAGAAGCCAGCCTGGGAATCAAAGGGCGGTCGCGATTCTGGCTGGGATGGCAAGCGTGGTGCCGTAGAGGCCGGAGATGGTCCAAGAACACCCTGGAAGAAGGGCATTCGTAACCCTCTTGCTGCTAAGCAGGGCGGGGAGAGTAAGCCTGAGGTGAAGAGGCCACCACCAAAGAAGGATGATGAAGGAGTCCTGCATCCTAGTTGGGTGGCGAGGAAGCAGGCCAAGGACGCGGAAAAGACAGCGGCGTTTGCGGGATCAAAGATTACTTTTGACTAGGCGTACATAGAGCATAGCGATACCAGGGGTCAATAAAAGTTGGTTATATACATGTCATGTTTCCTTTCGTTATGAGGGTGTTCTATGCTGTACATGCACAGGCAGCCCTCCCTCCATAGGCAAAGTCAAGCTACTTTTGCTCACTCTCTCACCCTCAAACGCAGGCTCAAAACTGAATAGAGGGACTAATCTTGCCAGTGTCTGTACCGCAACCAATTCTGCCATCTTCTTTCCCAGACAGACTCGTGGCCCACCATTGAAAACAGGAAACTCGGCTGCTGGACGTTGAGCAACGGTCACGTCTCCGGTTGGTGATGTAGTAAGCCAGCGCTCAGGGCGGAAATCATCTGCATCTGAACCCCATGTAGTGTGTGAACGTCCCATCGCCCAAGCGCACCAGACCACGATAGCACCGGCAGGCAAGAACGTCTCGTCTGGGAGGGTGGTTGCTCGTTGGGCTTGCTTGATTTCGAAGGGTATGGGAGGTCGAAGACGGAGTGATTCATAAAAGACGGCCAGAACGTATGGTAGTCGTACTGGTGTGAGGCGTTCAGGGTCATTCCCAGTAGAAGATGTGGCGCTGTCTTCATCTTGTAGATTTTCCACGGATTGGCGTAGCTTGGTCGCTACATGCGGATTCTTCATGAGAAGATACAACGTCCACGTCAAGGCCTGTGCGACAGTGTCTCTCCCAGCTGAAAGATAGTTCAGCGCAGCATCTGCCACCAGAGCCTCATCGCCAATGGAATCGAGCAGAGATTGTATAAGACTCCCCGGGGCGTCAGACTGAGTCTTTCCCTCTGTTTCCTTCCAATCAGCCACAGCACTTGTAACGATTCGCTTCCCGTACGCTTTAACAGTCGCGATTGATCGTCGCATTCGAGCTCCGGTAAACATCTCAGTAAGAAACCACAACGGATTCTGGAACCTCTCAGCAGTAGCCCCAGAAGCGTGCTCAAAAGCAACAGTAAAGTCATCGTCAGCGTGCATTTCCATGTTATACGCCATACGTCCCATCAACTGCGTCGTAACCTCATGAACCACAGCCTGCAAATCCACCACTTCCTTTGTATCCGTCTTTGATTCAAGAACACCTATAGCTTGATCAAGGTACTTTGGCAATCTCTCATTCGTCAAAGTCTTCAAAGCCGCCGCAGAAAGGAACCGCAGTCCCGCCTTGCGCTGCAACCTCCAGAACTCGCCATCGACGTTGATGATACCATGACCGAAAAGATCCCAGGAGCGCTGCTTGAAGAAATCGCCTTTTTCAAAGACGCCTTCATTGCGGAAGATAAAGTCCAGGTTTTGAGGATCGTTGACGATAACACCTGGTGGTAGGGAAGGGACGGTTATGTGAAGGGTTTCATAGCCGTAGAGATGCTCAACACGGTGAAACCAAGAAAAGAGCTTTTGACGAGGTTGAAGAAATATGATTCCGTTCCCTACAAGGGGAAGTGTGTTTGGAGGTTTTCTGTATGAGTGGTTAGTTGACGTTGATTGAGATGGTGATGGTGAGCATAGGGTAAGTTGGGTGAGAAGCGACAAACCTGAGAGGCTCGCCATTGCGAGTGATTTTTGCACTTGTTTTCTCCCAAATGTACAGAAGCGTTATTATCACTGCCGTTAGGATGAATCCATCTCGAAGGTTGACGCTAAGAAGGGCCATGGTTGGCCCAATTGTGGTAATAGGTTGCAAGGTAGAAGTTGTCCCGGTTTCACGGACTCCGAACGAACGGGATCATGATGTAACCACAAATCGATCCATTGAACAACAGAAACTTGTTTGTTTTATCTACAGAGTGTTTCGATGATTAAAATAGATATTCTTGTGAATATCTCAATTGTTTTGGTAAAAAAAAAATTGTGCGAGTACTGGTCCTACATTACAGTAATTGCCATCGTCTGGAATATGAGCTGATGTTTTCGCTCCTCGTATTCGCCAACAACAAAAACGACAACACCTCCAACTACAAACATACAATCAATATCTAGATCAGCTAAAAAGAAGATCATCGGCATATAAATTCCCCCGTCGGTGGGATTGACATAAGCCCACCACATCAGCGGGATGACGTTGCAACCGAGGGCACCAAAAACACGTCTAGCCAGGGGCGAGCCAACCAAGTTTCAGCATTAGTTTCACACATCATTAATTGAAAAGTCATCCCAATTCTCGCGTTCGGTTAGAACGATCCGAATATCTTTTCTCTCTAAACTGCGCCTGAATGAACGCGTATAGATACTAACTAGATAGATAAATAAGCCAAACTTTGTTTATTGAAAGCCATCATATGATAACGACAGAATAGGCAGCTCATATCGTACATAAGCCTTTGTCTTTATCTGCATCGCATGGAATTCCCCCTTCGTTTAACCCCTCCAAACAATACCCGAGACAGTACTGTTACATGCTTTGCCTTGGTTGCCTCGCTGTTCCCTTTGGGTGTTGTGCTGTCACCATAAACAAATTCCTCTCCTTCCACTTCCATATCAACATCGTGTCCTGTTTTTCCTACCCAATTCTTTCTCAATCACCATCTCTCATACTCATACTTCCCCTCTCTTTGCTTTACCCCTGCATTCATCCTGCAGCTACCCCCCTAGCTCTGTCATCAAGATAGCGTCATCGATTAAACTCACGCGGACAAAAGACGAACGAGATAACAGACAATATTAACGATTAAACACGTCAACGATATTGTTTTTCCTCAAGCGAATATACCAATTGAGTGTGCTCAACCTCGTTATTTCATCTGGTCTTACTGGAGATAACGTTCCAACGCTGAATTGCTCACTTACTCTACATTTTATTCTGTCGTCGCAACCTTACGAATTGTTGAGGACACAAACGCCACAACTTTCACCAAAGCTTCAGTCATGGCAGCCCCAAGCGCATTTGGAGAGCTGGGTCTCTCCATCATTGGCCTCAGTGCCGAGTATCCGCCTCATTCTCTAGATTATACTTGCCTCAATACCCTTGGCGAGAGATTCTATCCTGATACGCCTTCGTAGGTCAAATTTCCGAACCATGACTGCCTATCTCGCTTGCTAATCATATCATGGTAGTATGCAAAAAGTCCTTACAATCAACAGATACACTGGAATTGACTCACGATCGTCTATTGGAACGCCTGAACACCCTGCCGTAAACAAAAAAGATGCCCCGTCAATAGCAGAGCTCCACAGCATATTCCAATCTGACGGTGTTCCACTCGCGATTCGAGCCGCTCGCAAGGCTATTGACGAAGCCAAGATCGATACGCGATTCATCACACACATAGTCGCCACAACATGTACCGACAGCGCAAATCCAGGTTTCGATCACTTTGTCGCAAAAGGTCTGGGCATAACACATGGCGTTGAGAAGGTCTTGTTGCACGGTGTAGGTTGTAGTGGAGGACTGGCGGCTCTTCGAACAGGCGCAAACCTAGCTCTGGGTCATAAAGCACGGGGACTGCCCGCGCGCGTTCTATGCGTAGCACTAGAAGTCAGCACCACTTTGGTGCGCAGTGAGCTGGACAGCATCAACGAGCTGCAGCAGACGAGGATAGGCGCATGCCTGTTCTCAGACTGCGGTAGCGCCGTCGTATTGAGCAATGGTATCGGTGAGCCCTCTGAACCTGTATATGATCTGCTCGGTTGGGATCACAGGACTATCCCTGATACAGAGGAAGACCTGGGCTTTGACGTTCACCCAGCTGGTACGTTTTAACCACACCGATAACCACACCGACTGGCCCAAGGATGATACTAACATAGTACAGGCTGGAAAGTCATACTCACACCCCGCGTACCCAAGCTCACTGCTGCCTCGATTGGCCCAGCTTTCAGTGACCTCAAAGCTTCTCTACCGCAATTGCCCTCGGGCTACCAGAACGCTGCCGATTTCGACTGGGCCATGCATCCTGGTGGTGCTACCATTCTTTCCGGCGCTGAGAAAGTCATGGACATCACGCCAGAACACATGCGAGCAAGCTACGACACTTACATCAACCACGGAAACTCGAGTTCTGCCACAATCTTCAGTGTGATGGACCGTCTGCGCTCAAAAGATATGGATGCCCTTGCGCCTGACGGACGAGTGCGCGACTACGTCGTCGGATGTGCTTTTGGTCCCGGCATAACAGTTGAGATGTGTATGATGAAGCGAAACATGGCCCATAGGACGACTGTAACTGGCCTTCAAACACCGCCAGAGACTCCAGCCGAAACCGAATCGGAGCCAAGTGAGGCCGGAGACGGAGACGAGTGGGGCGCCGAGAACAGCGGGTCTCCGGCCGAGCGGAACTCTGCATCTGCGTATGAGTCGCAGGATCAGTATGCGAGATTTGTTACTGAGTCGTTAGAACATCTAGATCTCGATTAGCATGGCAAAAGAACGTGATGGCTTGCCTTGATTATCGGAATGCATTAGTGATCCATGTGTTTGGACATGGGCAAAACAATATGATGGTAGAAATAATGATGCTTCGTACACTCGTACGTTTATTACAAGGAAGACGATCCACAAACTGATTCCAGATCGAGCCACTTGATACTTGCCAAAGTTGCCAAGACCTGAGTCAGGGTAATAATATCCAATAGATACATGTCATGATAGTCTCAGGAACCTGCCAATGTACCCTAGATTGCGAGGCTGCCAAGAAATAGTTTCACTTGTTGCCGAATACATTACCAATTTCAGCGATATCCGCTTTCGGATATAGTGAGGGAACTCATGAATGACATGACACATCTGAGCATGTCTCAGTCCAATGTTGAGCACTGTTGAAGTTTCGAACGCGAATCGACCCAAACTGCTGGCTTGGCTAGACCATCTAATTTCTTGTGATCCCTACAGCTCCATGGTTGATTTGACAGAAACAATGGATGACCCGGCTAATAAACAATGACAGTTTATTGGTTCAATAAGGATCTTGGTGATCCTAGCGGTCTGTTCGCATATTAGTTGGGGTTTATCTTAAGATCGCTTGGCAACTCATGATACATGTTTATCGCGCCCTCACTTTAACGCCAATGATCAAAATCCGTGCAGACCAGGGTTAGAACCGCAAGCGTCAGTTGACATGTAAGGGGAAGGGTAAGAGGGTCCCGTGGAGAGAAGGGCGCGAATGACAACAAACGTACCCAGAATTGTCTAGAACGTCTTTGTCTTGGTGTCTTCCTATACTAGAATCGTAAAACAAAAAGACTTGCCCAGCAGGGAGTGCACTCGCTGTATGAGGAATCGCTATGAGTCATGAAAAGTAAGTTGCCGAGAGTCCTCCACTCTGACGTGAATAAGATCGTCCAAGCGCGTGTTCTCGAGGCTGAAATACCTTGACAAAGGGACCGCACCGGTATCTTCATTTCAGATGCCGAGGTTAGTGGATGTTCGGCAATAAAACAGACACGCTAACCAGTAGGGTATATTCCTCAAGCACAGTTTTGAGCTTGGTCGCTTAATCGTCTGTTAATATGACTTTAGCCCAACCTATCAGTTTTGACACATTCATCCTGAGCCATCTTGACAGTTTTATGTCGACGATTCAGGATGCGTGCATAAGGTCGGGGTAGCATCGCGAGAAGCAACCTTGAAATGGGTTAGCTGCCGCGGAGGCTGCCAAATTACCGGTAAAGTAAGTATAAGAGGAATATGGGGCTTGCCGTGTTGTATGTAACTTACATCACCAGAGCTGTGGAGACCATCTGGGTGGGTTCTGCCCCATAGTGTTCTCAGCTTGAACTTGCCAAGTGGGCGAATTGATCAACCGTTCCACCTCGTGGCATCGACAACGCTAAGGCTCTCTGACCATGTGTCTGTGTCCCTTGTGCGTCTGTGTCCCTGAAACATGCCTTTATCGGGATGGGACCCAAGAAACAGGATGAGGATTGACTAGTCAAACGGTTCATCGAGTGAGTTCATGGCCAACTCAAAAGCCACCGACTGACCCAAAAGTAGCACGCCCAATCAGAGATGAGTGGGAAGCATCCATACAAGTCTCGAAACAGGAACTCGTCTTGAGAGTTGAGAAGCACCCTGTGGCTTGCAGATTTGACAACACAGTCCCCACTCACACTAGCATGGTAGTTGGTGAAGTTTCCCGCAGATAGTTGACGGTGACATGACTATCATAGTGACACGAGCCGGGTTCAAGGCGTATGGGAAACGAACGTGGTTTTGTGGGTTTAAGCTCTCGTGCACGGCGCGCAAAATGGCTTTTTGGCGGCCCAGCAATGGGGATGAGGCTTGGAGTTTGAATTCGAGAAGCGAAGCTTACACACATGGCTTTCCGCGGACGATCTTTCGACGCTATCGAAACACACGGTTCCATGGAAACTGGCCCTTCGAGGCTTTAAACTGGTGAGGTGAAGATCTAGTCTCACACCTTGTTCGAAATCCCCGATGTGTGCAGCAGCGGGGGTGGCACCAAGTATCTTTGAAGCATAGACAAATGCTCAGTGGCGTGCGATACCGGCCTGCTCGCTTCGAGACCGCGCTATATACAGTTGACGTTTGGTCAGGCAGCTAGGGTAAGGATACCCCTTAGGGAAACCGGCAGCGCACAGCTGAAGAGTCTACGCCAAGAGAGTATCAAGACTGTGACTGAAGCTAAGCGTGCGGCGTGATAGGAGGGCCGCGTTCCAGGGAAGCTAGAGGGTGTCTTCAATCTCCACATGTAAGGCAGAGAGCATGGGCGTGGGCGCTCTGAAGAGTTGATAGTCGAAATGCTCAGTGCCTTGGGGCAGTTGTTTAAGTTGAAGGAGTTCCCCTGGGCGATTGTGGCAGGAATGTCCTATTACACCATCGACGAATCGCAAGCGAAGAACATATCAAAGGATTATACGAAAGCCGAATCGACATTCGCTGTATCAACTGAACAATTGATGAATGTATCTTCAGCCAACGCTTATCAACACGTCCACCACTCGAGAGCTGCATAAGTACCATGACAGCATCGGCATAGCTGGAACTCGCCATTTCCCCTTCAACAATCAGTCGACTATTGGGCAAAACAAGACTATTCGAGCTTCGGCACCCGCGGAGCTGTGTTACAAGCTTAATAATCGATCGCTCAACTGACTGGGCTGGATTGGATTGGGGTCGGCTCCGAGACTATACTGAATCCTTGCGGATCCGGAACATCTAAGAGAAGAGGCTTGTGGTTCGGTGCGGCTGAAATTTCCTTTACCGGCAGCACTTGAAGCTTGGCATTGCGACGAAAAACCGGAAATACGGACGAAAAGTCCAATCTTGGTTTGGATGAAGACTGAGGTTGAGGATTATTATTCTGTCTTTGGTGTGATGGAAGGAGACTTGGATGAGGGAGGAGTTCGAGTTGCTGAAGCCGACGATTTCCACAGTAGGAACATTCATTCCGCTCCTGCCGTTGGGAACTATATGGGTCACGTGGAATCGCCTTTAGGCCGTCAGTACCCTGATACGCCCGGACCTGGTAATAACGACGTTGGCACCTGGCGTTGGCATAGGCGAAGGTCACAGCGCCCCGTACAGGGACAAGTTCCAGTCGCTGTAGCCCCAGACTCGACACCCGGACACTTCGCCCAATTCGCGTCACCATTAGCAGTTCGCGCTCACATTCACCCTCAGACTCAAACACATTTTCAGACTCAGGCTTATTCATATCCTCAGACACCAAATACACAACACGCTCATCTTCAATTACAGCACGAACAGATACTCTTTTCACATTCACCTCATTCTCATTCGCCACTTGTCGATAATTCCGCCATAGTAAATGGCCATTTCGGTACCATGGAGCAGATTGAAACACAAGCAAGCGACTTGCGATTCCTTGCCCAAGTACCGGTTTTGAATCCAACCTCAAGTCCATCTCTGGGCCCCGGCTCCGGCGCCGGAAGAGGTGGAACTCCTGCCCGAACCCCCGGAAGTGCCGTGGGAACGTCTGCAGGTGCTGCTATTGCTTACGACAATCAAGCCAGCCCAAGTTCCGCCTCTGTCGGGGACAATTCCGCCCACGGTGCGAGTGCCTCCAATAACAATAAGAGGAAGTCAACAGATGATGGCCAAGGCAATGTTGGGAAGCAGTCGAGAAGCAAAAGAAACAGAGTAAGTTCACTTCATTTGCTATGTCAATATCCTGTCCAAGATACCCAAGAATCAAGATCAGATGAGACAAGGGGCATGTGAGATGTGACATTTTCAGACGATAAGAAGAGAGCCAAGACGAACAACGGAGGCGTGGTTCATCAGCACAGGACTCGACGGCATTCGCCTATCGAAACGTCATGAGTCTTCCGACGTCAACCACTTCGGCTTCCTTGTTGCACCACATGGACAGACCCAAGCTGTCGGGTCGCCCACATAACCCCCCCTGTTCTCTTTGTGATTACTATGTCAACACATCAACCTACTGCACTACAAGGTCACTTGGCTAACACGCGGTCTTCCTTACGGCAGTATATATCAATAGCATGGTCAGTACAACTCCTCACTGCGTATTCTTATCAATGCCATTGGCGCGTAACACAGTGGCACATTCGCGTCCTTTGCTAAGGAAACAATTTTGACTGACAAACTACAGTAACGAATGCAAGAGGCGCAAGATAAAGTGCAACGGCGAAACTCCTTGCCAAAGATGCGGTAACCTTAATCTCGCCTGCCTTTACGCCCCCAACTGCTGTTCTGGAAACTTCAAAGAATCGGACGAATTCAAGCAGGTTACATCACAGCTTGGTCGACTTCAAGAAGAAGTCGGCTGGTTACACCAGACAGTCAAGACCATGCAATCCGAGCCCGCCCGTTTCCCTTCAATTGGTGATCGAGCAATGGCCCATAGCCATGGCGCATCGACGATTGCCCATTCACCTTCTCATAGTTCTACTTCATATAACCGCAATGATGGTTCAAAGTATGGTTCGTTCCGAGGCCCTACAAGCATGGCCTTTAGCTTGGATGTTGCCAATAACACCATCAACAACATGGGCTACAAGGGTATCTCTGATGAAGACCAGCATATGAACGAAGGGCTGGGTGCCATGTCCATGCGCCCAATGGATCCCCTCCATGAATTTGACAAGGACGAGATGGTTCGTCTTTGCCGTCTACACGAGGAAGAAATAGGAATTATGTACCCGGTGCTAAACATTCAAAGTGTTATATCCCACGCCAAGGGCATGGCGGCTTTCCTTGAATCTGTTCGGCAGCAAAACCCCAGGGAACTCATCAACGACGACAAGACTCTACAACTCAAGATCATTATGTGTTGTGCCCTGGTAGTCGAAGAACATGGGCATAGCGACAAGGCGATTCGCTTGTTCGACAGTATGGAAACAGTACTCAACCGGAAGCTCATGGCCGAAGCCGCCGATGTTGGAACCATACCGATACTGGCTCTTGTTGCTGGCTACCGGTTCCTATCCAACGACGAAGTTTTGGCGTGGCGCGTTATGGGACATGTTGCCAGATTATGCTTGGAGCTTGGTATTCATCAGAGAACAGGCCTGATGAGGATTCAGGATGAAGAGGAGCGAAAGAACGCTCTGGTTAGCTTTTGGTCAGCCTATGTTCTCGATCGAAGGTGGGCCTTTGCGACTGGCCTTCCTTTCGTCGTTCAAGACGAGGAGATCGATACACTGCTTCCGTTCCCTGTTAGTACCGGATTCATGCCACGTATGGCAAGTTGGCTAATAAGACTATAGGAGGAATACCCATACCTCGTCGCCATGATTACATATTCCCGCATAGGAGCAAAGGTGTGGCGACAGGTTGCTCATTTTGGGCCGATTCTTGCGCGCGACGTACGTTCCGAGGAGCTGGAAAGCGTTGATCAAGAGCTGCTACAGTGGTATGAACAGATCCCCGAAGAGGTAAAAGTTCGTAACTGGGACAAAGAGAAGCACATCACGTCAACACCGTCGTATAACCTCCAACGGTTGCGAATCTGGACATATCTGCGCTTGAATCAAGTGAGTATACTGTGAGGAAATTTGAATACAAACTGACAATCATTAGATGCGAATTTGGCTTTACACGCCTGTTCTTCATAGCGCCACAAGCATTGTGGCACACCCTGCACAGTCAGAGCGTGTTGTCGACATTGCCAAAGATACTATCCGCTATCTCAGCCATTTGAACAACACAACAAACCTATACAGGCGTGTGCAGGTCTTCTACCATCAGTTCCTTACATCAGCTATCGCCGTCGTCTTCCTCGCTTCCGTTCACGCCCCAGTCCGGTTCAGTGCTAATTGCCGCGAGGAGTTCTATATGGCTCTGGAGCTGGTGAAGGATCTCTCCGCTAAGAGTTGGGCCTCACAACGGCTGTGGCGGACAATTAGATCGCTCAAAGACGTGGCACCCCGATTTGGATTGAACCCTGAGGACGATCCGCAGTCAACAGCTGCATTGGGAATGATAGGGCTTGCGCGAGGCCACATGGATCAACAACAAACGTTCCGTAAACCCTCAATACCAGGCCAACAATCATCAACAGCGACACCAGATCCATTGGCTCAGAACGGATCGCGTATCCAGGCCGAGATGTCTCGCATGTTTGAAGGGTATGTGGGCTTGAATGGTTTCCAATATAGCGAGAACGATGGTCAAGGACAAGGCTCCAACAATGAAGTATCCGAGCCACCGAATGGCATGTTTGGAATCGACGGTACGGTCTTTCCACAATTTAAGGACATGTATTAGCGATATACATTGCGAAAAGCTAGATGATTATGATGTCTGGATATAATACCCTTTAACTCGATTGGCCTTGATTATTTGCTAGCATTATTGCAAGTGACAACCAGAAGAAGGATCTAGCAATGAATAGTATAATAATAGTAACAAATGAGTACATTCCACCTGTTGGCAGCCTCTAGAGTAAAATCAGCTAGCATCACGCCTCATAGTTCTGCGACTAGACACGATACAGTGAATTTCGCAGGTCAATTTAAACGGGAATTAGACAATTAGAGAAGCCATCAACTCTATATGCCAAATTGTTTATTAACCTACTACCTTGATACTCGATCTGTCGTCGGTGGGTAAGCACAGGCTTAGTAAGTCGCCGAGTTCAACAAACACCACGACCGACCATCTTGAACTTTGCATAACTTGGAAGATATCAGCACCAACACAATCCTTTTTTAGTACCACATCCTCGGCGGCATTCACCATGGTATCTGTAGCAACAACCCCTTTTCTCGCTCACGCCCTCATCGAAACTCCCGCTGCTCTCACCTTTATCCTCAAACCATCAACTCAACTACAACCACTTCCTCCATCCGCAGCTCTAATCGTTCAATCTTTTGGTGGTTGTATTCTCGCCACAAATCTCGTTGCTCTCGTCTTTCTCCGTCGAGATTTTGACAACGTTGCGCAAAACGTCGCTCTCGCTTTTGCGTTTTGGCATATCTGGCCTTGTTATCGCGCTTATATGCGCATGAGTGGTTATACAAAGGAAGAGGGAGCTACAACTACGAAAACACTAGGAGGACCGATGGTGCATCTTGGAGTTCACATTGTTCTTTTGACTATGTTTCTTGGAACCTGGTTATTCGGCAATGCTTAAATAATAAGTCTGTTGATTCTACGATTACAACTTTTTAAAAATGTTTCCCTTTTAGTTTCTGAACAGTCTGAGTCCCGCCTCTTCAACATCAACATCCATATCATCGTCGCTCTCATTCTCGTTGAGCTGCATCTTGCGACCGAATAGCGTGCCGAAGAAACGGTCAATAGCACCCTGCTCCCACGCGCGTCGGTCCTCGGGAGCCATAAAGTTCTGCATCTTCTCGTGGACAGTGAAACGCATCTTGCGGCCCTTACTGGCCTTGCGGTCGACGTTCTTGCGGTTCTTGACATCCTTGGCTGCTGTGAGGACTACTGTTGGCACGGCATCGCCGGCACCAGCTCCTGATGAGCCCTCCACAGTTCGCTGGTCGACAAGCTCCTTGAGAAGGACCTGGTAAAAGTCGGCGTCGTCGTAGATATCACTATCCTCTGAAACACCCTTTGCAGCTTGCGCGGGGGCGCATGAGCGAGGGACACGAGAGCGCTTGGCGAGGCGGTTGTCGGGGTCGATGAGTTGATCCTTGAGAGCGCTGATAAGCGTCTTGTTTCGTCCCACAAGACCCTTTGATGCTGTGACGTTGACGGATTGCACCTTGCGGGACCACTTCTCGAGACGGTCTTCCCTAGACTTGATAGCCTGTTCCTCCTCAGTCTGAATCTGTTTCCAGATTTCGCTCGTAGTCATAGACACGTCTAGCTCGCGCTTGCGCTTCTCGCCAGCGTGGGAAGGTCCAAAGTTATCCTTAAGGCTGCTGATAGTGTTGAGGAGCTTGATAGCAGCCTCTTCCGCGGCCTCGTAAGGTTCCGATTCGGGCTCGGGGTTGGAATCGAGGGCTTCGAAGGTGTTGGCGGCGATGAGAGCCTTTTGAAGACGAATTCGCATGTTTAAGAGTCCGTCGTAGGCCTTGCGCTGTTGACGAATTGCCAGACCCTTGTCGACGTCGGGTCGGGTGGACAAAGCTGCCATCATGGGCTTTGCGTTTTTAGCCTTGGCCTTTGAGTCTTCTTCATCGCTTTCGCTGTCATCTTCATCATCCTCTTCTTCCTCGCCAGAGCCCTCTTCGTCGTCGTTCTCACCCGACTCATCATCAGAATCTTCCTCGCCATCGACAAGAGCGTCCAGGCCATCATCCATATCTTCATCCTCAGAGTCGGAACCGCCAAGCTCTACGCCCTCCTCTTCATCTTCAGAAGAGGACATGTAGTCGGCAGCCCTAGCTCTTTTCGAAATAGGCTTGTTGGGCTTAGAGCTTGCGCGGAAAGTATAGTCCTTGAAGCGCTCCTCGTCACTCTCGCCAAGGGCATTGTCGCTAGAGATTTCCGAGTCGTTGGCCTCAGCTTCGTCGCGCTCAAGATCCGCGGTCTCTGGGTCATCGAATTCCTCGTCGCCCGATTCCTCTTCGTCTTCGTCCTCGGATGCGCTCTCTTCTTCAAGAGCGTCTCGCGAGACGCGCGAACCTCGGTACTGGGGACCAAGAGACAGGCCCTCCTTCTCCCTCAGCTTGCTCTTTCCGACAGAGACATAGTGCTCGGTTCCCGCATTCTCGTCCTCGCTGTCTTCGCTTCCGCTGCCGTGCTCGCTCGCATCGGCCTCTGGATCATAATCTTGAAAGAGTTAGGAAACATGCGAACATGAAGAAAACGTTAGCTACGACATACCCTTGGTGATAGGCTCATCAGGATCCTGAAAGTCCTTTGCGCGACCCTTTGCTTTAACCATTGTGAATTGGTTATTTGACTTTTCTTTGTAGAATCTTGCAATGGAAGATCTTCCACTAACAACAGAAGCCCCCACGTTGGAAATTTCTGAGATTCGGCCTTGAACTTTTAGGCGGTGGATAATGGCAGAACTGTCGCAGCTCAACATTAGTGGGTAGTGCCCTGTAGAGTCCGCTAGCTTATGGAGAGTCTATTCATGCATGCGTTCCATGACACCTTATTTGGTCAGTCTCGAGCATTTCTAACATAGGTAGATAACTTGATGTTTCTCTTTCTTAGACAGTATTAACAGACTTTAGATTTGTGTATCTTTTAATTGAGGGGCTCTGTCCATAAGTTCCCGGGACTTCAGATTGTATTTATTGTTGTTTCCAACATGCGAGCAACTACAGCTCGTCTCTTTCAAAGCTTCCGGGCTCTCCAACACGAGAATCCGCTGGTGAGTTGTTTCTCATATTCTTGTTCTTATAAAGCTTGAATCTTATATATCAAACATCAGGGCCTCCCTCGATCTGGGACGCCCCCTACCTGGGGTAAGCGTCCAGTACGTCGCAAGATCACAGGCGTTGAAAAGGTCATTGCTGTATCGTCTGCAAAAGGTGGTGTAGGCAAAAGTACAGTTGCAGGTATTTAACAACACCAAATCATAATATTTGGAACGTTTCTAAACCAGAATAGCAAACTTGTCCCTGGCCTTTGCTCGCCTAGGCTTTCGTGCTGGTATCCTAGACACTGACATTTTTGGCCCATCTGTCCCGACCTTGTTTGACCTCTCAGGAGAACCAAGGTTATCGAGCAGTTAGTGACGAGAACATATAATTTCGACCAATTGCTAACATATTCTAGATAACCAATTGGTTCCTCTTACAAACTATGGAGTCAAGACAATGTCTATGGGCTATCTTGTTGGTGAGAATGCACCAGTTGTATGGAGAGGTCCTATGGTGATGAAGGCGATTCAACAACTACTTCATGAAGTTGAATGGGGTGGTCTTGACGTTCTCGTCCTCGATCTGCCACCAGGAACAGGAGATACGCAGTTGACTATCACGCAACAAGTCATTCTAGATGGTGCGTATCTACGACATACAGCAAATCACTCTTGCTAACCAAGAACAGGCTCTGTCATCGTAACTACGCCTCATACGCTGGCCACCAAAGACGCCGTCAAGGGTATCAACATGTTCAAAACGGTTGACGTCAATATCCTCGGCGTGGTGCAAAACATGTCTCTTTTCCAATGCCCTCACTGCCACGGAGAAACCAGTATATTTGGTTCCAACGCGAGAGTGGAGAAGTTATGCCAAGAGCACAAGATCGACTTTTTAGGAGATATTCCCCTGCACCCCAACATTGGAGACGATGGGGACAGGGGAAAGCCAACAGTAGTGGCAGAACCTGAAAGCGAGAGGGCCAAAGCCTTCCTCAAAATAGCGCAGGACATTTGTCCAAAGATCGAACTGAGCAGCAAATAACGGCCAGGTCGACTCACCAAAAACAATGTAAAAGACATGTATAATGAATGTCCCTATCAGCTCACTTAGTAAAACATTCGGATCAGGGGGGAAAGGCATGATGTGCTCAAAAACCACTATTTGATTTGACCTCGGCTGGCCTGTTCGAGACCGCGTCGCTCCTACGTACTAGAGTCAGGGAAAGAACTGGAATAAACGCGATTAAACGCCATAAAGATGAATCGTTAGCTTCTGCCATGATGAAACGCAAGGCATGTTACCAAACAAGAAGAAAGGTCCAGAAATTTCCAAATGCCCCCCGCATGCCCTTTGCGTATCGAACCGAGTATCCTGCCAAGAGAGAATGCTGATTAGTCTAGCTCCTCGTTCACTTGATAGATATGACGGCTTCGTGTGGGGTCTTTGCGCATTGCTTGGCCAGAGCCCGTGAAGCCAACTAAGAGAAAGTCAGTATCTCGTTCGTACAAATAGTAGGCGGAAAAATTGCGTACCTCTACCATGAACACCTTCGGGAGTGCGGAACATGCTGTCCTTCTTTGTGGACTTGCCGCCCTTGGACTTTGCGCTAAACTCTTGCCACTTATTCTTGTTCTTCTCAAGTTCCTTCTTGGCCTTGATCTTCTTGGGCTTGGGAGGTTTCACCTCGCCGTCCTTTTCAGCGTCCTTCTTGGCATCGGGATATACCGTCGCGCCCGCAGAAGTGACCAGGCCAGGAGCAGATGGTGTTGCGGGTGTTGAAGTCGTCGGTGTTCCGTCTGCTTTGCGCTTGTTGGAGACGGGTCGGATATCGCGAGCTTGAAGGGTTTCTGTGTTATCGTAGGTCTTGAACTTGACAACATAGATGGGATTCGTCGAGGAACCAGTGATGGAGGTGATGCGCGCTGTGTAGAAACCCTTGTCGCCAGAAACCCACTTGGCTAGAACAGTATCGTTGACCTGATAGTTTACGGGAGCAGCCTGTTCCTTCTCCTCGGCCGGAGCTGCTTTCTTAAAGGCGGGGTGGTTCTCGCGCGACCACTTCTCGGGCTCGGGTGGTGGTGATGGCTGCTTGGGGGCGGGCTTGGGAGCCTGGGCAGGCTTGAGCTCAGCAATCTGTTCATTGAGAAGATCGATGAAACTGTTTAACTCGTCCTTTAATGCTTTGAGTTCGACGTTGTCGGGGTCGTCGCGGAGCTGGCCAAGAACAATCTCGAACTGGAGAGAAACTGGTCAGTATGATGGGTTCTAAAGTTGGGAATGGAATGGGTGTCGCACTTGTTCTTGGTAAGCCTTCTTTTCCTCTTCGATTTCAGCGACGGACGACATGGTTTGTGTGTTTGCAGGGGTTCTGCGATGGCTTAAGTGATGTCTAAAGTCGAGGTAGCTACGGCGATTGGTTGAAGACGGCGATATGATGGTTGGCTTGCTAATACACGGACGATGGAGATTGAAGATTGAAGTTAAAGGTCACGTGCAAGGCACCCCCAGATTATCCTTGTCACCAAGAAAGCTTCTGGAAGGTTGTAAAGAAAGTGTTGAGCAACTCAAAGTTGTTATAACTGTTATTATATTTATATTACTAGCGTATTAACTGTTTTTATTGTTATGTTCCTCCAGGAAACTCTTGTGTTAGGAGATAACTCTGATTCAATGAATCTGGTCAGCTTTGGTAAGGTTGGAGAATGTTATACCAAGATGCATGCAGTTGAACAATAATAGAATCACATGACAGAAACTTTTATTATAACCTTGAATTTGGCACGACCCGACGACACGCAGCAACATTGACAAGATTGATGTTTTGTCAAAGACTCCGTGTTGACCAACAATGTCCTCATCTCACCTCCAAACTTTCACTTGCACTTCAACGCCTACAGTCGGCCCGGGATGAGATTTCATACACAAAAGCCAAAAGCTAAAAGTCGAAAAGCCAAGACAAGCTGGATCAAACCCCATTTACTATGCAACTAGCAATTCCAACTAATGCAATATGTATTACAAGTGACGCATTCGTGAGTTTGCCCAATCTCACATTTTCTTAGTTTCTATTGGGGGACTCGATTTATTCTGTGATAAAGTTCCACAAGACAGAATGCGAGGCTTCGTAAGTTGTCTTTTTTCTTCTTCGGATTACCAAAGAGAGAGAGTTCCGATTGCGGCTCTTTACTTTTGAAATAACTTGTCATTTATCTCCTGCGCTAGAAGTAGTAGTTATCTTCTGTTGATCTCGCTCATCACACTCTTAACAAGTCCACTCGCTAGTCTGATTCTCGTCACTGTACGATCCCCATGGACCTTGTTCTACTGCTGCTACCTAAATGTTATCTCGCTCGTTCACTAGCTCCAACTCAACTTGACTTCTTTTTTCTCTTACGGAACATCGTCACTGTAATAAACTGCCGTCTCTCTTAGTGCTCTCTCTGGTCTGCACTGTTGTCAGAGTCATAAACAACTTAAACTTTCACCCCCTCCAAGACCAACGAATCTCAGTCGTCTCTATTACGAAAAGACTTCATTTCATTTGATTCTCATACAAGAACAAGCTTGTCCCGGCACTTGGCTCGTCTCCTCTCGGCAACACTAGTTAGTTCCTAGTTTCAATCTCCGCCATTTGTTTGTTCCCCTTCGTTTCGTCTGGGGTTTTCCTTGCCCTTTTTACTTGGTCTGTGTTGGTCTGGTCTAGAATTACTCGCCTAGACCTTACGTCGTCAAAAAAGTTGGATTCTCCCTCTTCGCGTACAAACGTCTTTTCTCTCCTCCTTTTTTCTGTTATTCTCCCTTTTTAATTCCTCATATCATATTATCCCCAGATTCAAGACTCCAGAGTGATCGTCGGAGATAAACTCCGCCCCTCCACACACCTGTCCTCGCCAATTCTTTACTTGGCCGATCCGTTAACATTGACATCACTGAAAGGGAGGAGCCCTACCTACACTTAAAGGGAGCTCCATATTCGGTTACGAGAACGGAACTACCACCATTCGCGATTCGACGGCTGCATATTTGCATACAACACGACTCGACACGACACGCACGACTTTCCTTTAATTAATTTCGTACAACCTTTCTTCTTTTCAATATCTTACCCTGTTCGCGATTCAACCTTACCCAGTGCTCATGATAGCATATGCTCGGATCGTCGGTCCGGCCAGGAGGAACATAACTTGACACTGTAATCGCAAAAAATAAGCCAACAAAGGGGAAAAAAGGATCACCGTCGCGAAACTCGCAATTCTTTACTCCTCGAAACGATCTTGATCAATTCTTTACCGAGAGAAATTTGTGCGCAACCTTTACCACTTACTTGCTGTATTATACCTCCCTTCCTACCTCCCCCTCCACATCCCAATTCGACAGGTACAGCCAGCCATGCCTCACACCAAAGATGCGGACAGCGCATCGTCCACGGGCGGCCAATCAAAACGACCTCCGCTCAACCATCAGGAGAGCGATTCACAGAGCGAGAGCAGCGGCGTACACAGCCAACACCAACATCAACAACCTCGTCGACACGTTCGTCATCACCAGCGACAGCACACTGTTGGTCACTTGCATCACGCCCGAGGTCCTGGTTCCAAGACTGCACCTAAACAACCAAAGCTCAGCCGTCGTCATACCGATACCCCCGATCAGATCGAGCAGCAGCAGCTCCTTCAAAGAAACGCCGCAGCCGCAGCCACCAATTCGCATCGACGAGCTGCCAGCGACGCCAAGCTATCTTCGCGCGACTCATCCTCGGGCAATCTCGTTAAAAGCGCGTCACAAACGAAGCTGGTCAAGAATTCCCCGCAACCAAAGATCGTCAAGAGCCCATCCCACTCCAAGCTCAAGCGCAATCGCTCACATACGGAAATTGGCAAGAGAACCCAATCTGCGGAGCTCAAGCGCGCATCCAGTACTACAATTGTCTACCAGCCTCAAACCTCTGGCGGCAAGTCGCAGGTGCATTTTGATTTGGGCAACGAGGAGGACGAATGGGTCGATGCCAGCGGTTCTAACTCACCCTACCTCTCCCGCAAGGGGTCCCTCAATAGCAGCAATCACTCTGTCCACCCCGACGACCGCTCAAGACCGGTAACACCCAACGACGCCGCTGCCTACAAGCAGGCCGAGCGGGAACAAGAAGAACCAGAGCAGCAAAACTCAACTAGTCCAGAAAGGGAGACGGCGCATCGCAAGGAGTATCTCACATCCCGCATCCTCAAGCGCACTCCCTCTCACGGAGCTCCGCCCCAGATGAGCGCCGACCTAGCGCAGATCTCCCCTCGGCACTTTGCTCCAGCTTCTGCCGAAACCCCTGGGTCGGGTACTCTTGTTGCGGGAAGCAATACGGACGAGTTAACATCTCGGTTTGTAGAGGCTGTTGGTTCAGGATTGACTAGTGATGGATCATTTTACCGACCGCGTCGAGGGGACTTTCCGCGGTACGATGAAACTCCTCACAAGGCTCGCTCCGTTACCAGCTTGAAAGGCGATCGCGAAGAGCGTCGAGAGCCACCCACCAGCGCGCCAAAGGAGGAAACCGACGATAGTGCTCTTGCGCCCAAGACAGCGCGACGCACAGCACCACCCACTGCCCAGACATCACGGACACAACAGAAGCTCAACTTACAACGAGCCAGCTCTGTTATTGAACCCGGGCAAGCAGGCAGTGGTGTTGGGGGTGTAGTCGGCCATACGCCACTTATTGGTGTTGGCGGCCCTGGCTATGATGGCGGTAACAGTCGAGATCCTCGTGTCGGTAAACTTTTGGAACGCACAGGTATGGAATATCTCGTCGTTCGACGATATCAAAACCCTGTCTCGCGTTCACTCGAACGTCTCAATCATCTCCCTGGTATAGAAAAGTCATTGCGCATTCCACGACCTTACTCGGCCACTACAAACGGCAAGCGATCCGGAGATCTTATGATGCGCCAGCACACTCGCAATGTTAGCATGCCCGATGCTCGGCGGCCCGTCACACCTAAGCGAGCTACCTCGGTTCGCACCAATGGTGCAGGATCGAGTTACGATGGCAATGACGACGATGGTAGGTTGACGGATCGACTAAGCGGATCAAGCCTTGTCGGTGGCGAAGAAGAAGATGGGACGACTGCCCTGCTCAGGAACCTGTGGGATAAGTCCGCGGAGTTAAGTGCCAGCACAGATTAGAAGCCTGCTTGTATGGATACGGATACGGATACATCTTTGTAACTTAAGGGAAAGGGGCGCATGGTGCATCAAAGAAATAAGAATGTGCGCAACTAGCACATAGGTATAGAAAGGTATGAGTCGAAGACGTCACTTTAGAGCGTCATTTAATCAAAACATGTTTACATAATTCATGTTGCAGATAATTGTAGAGGCTAACGTTTTTGACACCCTGAGGCTGAGCTCTTTCCTTCTGTGGAAGTTGAACCAAGGTAGTTTGAGTATTGGAAAGACCAACCTGCCAAGATAGCCGCACCCCACCCGTCTTTCGACCTGAACTTTTCTTCAACCCCCTTCCCTACTCAACAATTACAACACAATCTTGTTGATACGTTTTACTTATCCTACCTATCGTATGCTCTAGTTGCTCAACCTGCGTCGCATTGCCTACCTACTGTCTCTTTTATAATCCGACTTATCTTAAACGTATCCTTCTCTCGACAGCATGGAGGGTTATGACGATGCACGATGCCTTCCTAGAATCCCAAATCTCTTCCCTACCTCTGACTCACAACCAGACCTCGTTCTGTATTCCGCATCCTGTGATGCCGGAAGCTCGACGAATAGCAACACTTCCCACGCTCTTGATACTTGTAACGACGATAATGAATACGACAGACGAGCGGAAGACCAAGGACAAATCGAGTCCTCATCCATCAACGCCCCCCATTCGACGCTCATGAGCCTTGGAGATGAGAAGGCTATGTTTTAGAAGAACAATGAAGCGGAAGAATATCCAGAACCCTCAAGAGTGTTTACAGCAGAGATCACGCAGTGTTCACAAGACGACACGGCCTCAATTCACTCCTGTACCGGTTCCGCGCATTCGGATGGCGGTTGTCAAGAAGAAGCTACGGAAGACTGGAGAAACTTGGGCAACGAAGCTCTCAAACCGGATGACCACTCCGATAGTACTAATTCTAGCAGTTCGGGTGGAACAACACCAAACGCACATTTTCTCGAGGCAGGCATAGACTTGATTGGCGCTCAAGAACAAGTACCGCAGCCCTTGACAAGACACCGCCTACAATCAATACCGTACGCTCGACTCTACAAGCTGGGATCAGTATACAACAAGCTGAAAGGCATTACGGGTGATTCTCAGGCTGCCACTGCCGGTGGTGATACACCTCGGCCGGAGCCAGACGCTGATCCTGATGGTGCTTTGGAGGATCTTGAAACAGCCTCAGAGTCAGGGTATCCAGCTTACTACATCTTCGACCCCCGGTCAGCTGGCTCTGCATATTATATGTATCAAGATGCTGATACACAAGAAGGCTACAAGATCGAGAAAGTTCCCTTCAAGCCCATATTGCCAGAGCCAGGACGGCGAGCGTATTGTATTGAGGCGTCGGAGAAAGATCAAGGTGAGCCCAGACACGCAAGCCAAGAGACATTGTGGAGGGTCGACTCGTCTCGCGTTCCTGCAGTGGTCATTGGTTCAGACAGCTCAGATTCCCACGAAGCAGTAATGGATGCGAACGAGCTCTTGTATGCTGGCGATGAGGCAACTCAAAGCATTGCCAGGAAAGTGAGTGATCGACTTCAGAAGATCCGACACTTGAGGGAACACCTGCGTGTCATCAACGGCAAAGGGCGAGACGTTCCAGAAGCGAAAGGACTGTATCTCATTGCCGACAAGGATATCCGTGATGTCGTCAGTATTGTTCTGGGCGAAGTGTTCAAGAATGGACAAATCGACCGACCTGAAAGAATAACTACAACAGAATCTTCTGAGGGTCGACCGTTACCAAAGTTGGACGGAGACTCGAATACCATCCTGGTACCTACACCTACAGCAGTAGATCCAGCAACGACCATAAACCTGCCGAATACCTCTTATACGAATATCAACGCATCAGACATGCAAGTTCACACTAAAACGCGTGGTGCGGAATCTGATACAACGACGACAGTCATCACACGTCGGAGTGTTGCTGAGATCGTTTGGGCTCGGGCTTATCCTGAAAGCCATGATCTAGATTCGCGAACACATGGCCGAACTGTGTCCGACTGTTGCTCACCCACTCATGGGGGCTCTCGTTCGTGTCCAGATGATCGACAACAAAGTCATCCCAAGGCAACCAAAGGTGATCCTACACTACAACATTATACTACACCAAAGAGTACAGCTGAAATTCTCGCGGACATCATGTGTAACAAAAGCTTTGAACAGCAATTGAGAGTCAGCGATGGCACTGTCATCACCTCATTTCCGAGGCTCTTTTCCCGCGACCTGACCAACGACTGGCCTAGACAATTTATGGATGGCGGAGACTTGAACAAGCCGGCACCTTCTACTTTGTACTATCATGGTGTTGATGCCCGTAGTGGCCTTCATGAACCAGTATCCTCGCCTTCCAATGAGCACCCCCCGATATGTCCAACGTCCTCGACAAAGGGCAGTTCGCTCTTCGATTCAAACCCTTTCAATCCTAAATCCAAGAACAAATACTTGCCAACTCCTCTTGCAGCAGAGAGAAGACTAAGCGCTTCCCTAGACGCCGATACTCAAAGACGCCGCAGCACGCTGATAACTGATATTGAAGAAGAGACTCCGGATGATTGCCAATCACGTCCTGGTCTTATGAACAAGATCAAGCACGGTAGCCACAGGCTTTTCCACAAAAGTCATTTTCGGAGGCCAAATGGGAGTACAACGACCGAAGATGATGCTTTTGAAGAGAGCGGTGTCGTGCGTTCAGGGAACAGTACAGGAAGAGGAAGAACTCCAGAGCCGTCCATATCGGATAGCTCAAGAGTACACAAGACCGCAACAGGGAGTAAGCTCAACGTCGCCTCATATGAGGAGGGGGTATGTTCGGAGGATGACGAACCACACAGATGCGTCAACGATTGTTCATCTCGAGATCTTTCTCCCAAGTGACATGATCAGTGGAGAGGGAGATGATGGAAAACGCAATTAGAGCATGAATACCTAGAAACCTCAGCCGATAGAAAGAATGAGTTCTTGGCCAACGTATAAGTCTAGTCGAAATGCGTAACTACTTCGTATTATTGACGAACTCATCCAGAGACAGGTGGAATCCAAAAATCATAAAGTATCAACGCATATGCATCATTATGTCTTATTAATGCCTCTTATAACATGTCTAAATGTTCTTCTACATTGCCTTGCTGGCTCTGGCCTTGTTCTCCTTGTGCCTCTTCTCCTTGGCCGCCGTCTTGCGACGCTTCATCCACGATCTGTTGAGATCACGTCTGTTATCCCAGAACCAAGCCTGGAAATCACTCGAGCTCTGCGGACCAGAAGCACCCTTTTCTCCTTCTTCCTCATCGTACCCATGCTCCGCCATATCAGCATCTTCATCACCCTCCTCCTCATCCTCAGGCCAGAAGTTGCGCATGCGCGAGGGATGCGCCGTGTCAGGCGTAGGAGCAGCGCTTCTAACGCCGCGCCATTCAAAGTCCTGACGAGAAAAGGGAGTCATGGGGCCGGGTGTTGCGATTGTTTGGTTGGCGGGGTCTTGGTCCTCTTCGTTCTCGATATCATCATCGTCGTCTCCACCGCTGAAAAAGCTGAATGGCTCGGCTTCTTTCTTAACTGGCGTCTCGGTGGCGCTTTGGTCGGGATTGGAACGCTTGTACAGAGCTTCCAGGGGATGGATGTTGGTAGAGGGGGTCAGAGGAGGGGGTATCTTGATTGTGAGATCGCGGGAGGGGGGTCTGCTGTCGTCGGCTTTGATGGCTGAGAGAGGCGTTGCTTGTTGGGGTTGTTCGGGGGATACTTCGTCGGAGGACTCGTCGGAAGAGGACTCGTCATCTTTTTGGGGTGTTTCCTTGGTGGTCTTTTCTTCCTTCTTCTCTACTTTGGCATCGACCTCCATTTCGTCCTCGCTCTCATCCTCATCCTCGTCTGAAGACGACCCGCTGCTACTAGTACCACTGTCGCTAGTTTCATCGTCTGACTCTGGAGGAGGCGTAGCCTTCTTGGCCTTTTTCTTCTTGGGCGTAGGCTCACCGACCTTCTTCTTCTCCTTAACAGTCTCAACCACGTTACCCTCCTCGTCCACCCAGCCCTTACCCTCAACGTACTCAGTTGTCTTGCTGGCTTCGCCGTCGGCAGAGTTCTTCAAGAAGCTCGGAAACTTTGTCGTCTTTTCGAATTCGTGAACCACCACTTCGCGATCCTTGCCCTTCTTCTTGCGCTTCCGGGGCTGGTCGTCCTCGGTGAGGGTGGACATGAGATTAGGAGGAACCTTTGTCTTGAGCAGACATTCATCTCCCTCTGTGTGCTTTGACTTTAGGCGCTTCTTCTTTTCTGTGTACTTTCCGTCCTTTTCCTTTTCTTTATCTAGCTTGCTCTTTTTCCTTCTTTGGTCGGCGGGCTCTGTCCAGCCTCTCTTAACTTTGCGATCTGTCAGAGCAACACCCTCGAGAATTTCGGGATTACGCTTTCGTTTTCTCTTCTCCTCTTTTGACTCCTTTATCTTCTTGTGCTTCTTCTCCTGCTCCTCATCTGCCTTGTCAAGCTCGGCAGTAGGCTCAATCTTTTTCTCTGGCCGGGCCTTTTCAATCTTGACCTTGGTGCCCTTGAGCGTAGCGCCATTGAGCTTCTTCTTTAATTTATCAGCCTCCATGGTGGGTAGTTCGACGTAACCGTAGCGGCGCTCGGGAAAAGTGTCGATTGTGTGATAAGAAATGTTTCGCGCCTTGGGAGCTACAGACGCTGACAGGACGACTTTGATAAGGTCGGGATCGAGAGGGGTAATGTGAAGTCGGACGTAGTCGCTTGAAGCAGCTTCAGCTTCAGCGGACATTGCGAAGCGGAGATCGCTGGTATAGTTTGAGGTTGTGCGACGCAGAAAGCGTCGTTCTGAAATGGACTTTCAAAGAAAAAAGGGACGAGCTTTTACTTTTTGCTTTACGATTTGCCTAGAAAAAAAGTTCCAGGGACCCTTTTAGCGTTGGTGAGGAAGCGCAATCTCTGATTGGCTGAATGGAGCGACGTTGATCCGGGCGATTGGATCTTCAAGATGTGATATTAATTGATGTACAATGTTTATGAAATCAGATAAGAAATATTATTGGACTTTCTCATTACAGGAAACCCATTCAAGTTTTAGATTTCATTAGCAATGGCTCATGAAACTGTGTTGACAGGTTGACTAAGACGTCTCAGATACCGCTGAGATGTCAACTCGTTCTGTTACAGATCCCATTACCCAATCTGGAAAGTATACCAAAAGACTGAAGCGGCTATTAGACAGTCTCGGCGACAAGCTTAAATAGGAATTGGAGTACGGATGATGTAACCCTATTGTCCATAAGAAATGTTCTAGATTGTGGTGTTGATAATTCGTGTGTAGTATTGCGACAAACCAGGGATCCTTGAAACTCTTGGCTTGTACTGTTTGGGACGAATAGTGTCGCAGACAGTCTTAACGACAACAGCCATGATACAGGTCCTGTCGGATGTACTAAGATATTGGGATGGAAACTTAATACTTGGTTCTATAGTTCGGTATCATGCTCGATTCAACTTTATGCCTTGGCTTGTTTTGCTTAACAATGGGCACATATAGTCTCAGTGTATAAAAGGCGGATAGTTCCTGTTTATTCGACCAAGATTCATTAGATTCGTCGCACTTTGTCTGTATCTCTTCAATTCGTTTCAATCCCTGGAGGATCTTTTATTCATTAATTCTATTTTATTCATTTCTCACTCTTACCATATCAAAAACTGTCATTCAAAATGCATTGGCCTACTCTCATCGTCTTCTTCGCCGGATCTGCTCTCGCTGGTATGAACTTATCCTAACAGAAACATTATCATGATACTAACTCATTATTGTAGCGCCTCACTTGGCCAAGAGACAGAACCCCTGCTTCATCGTTGGCTCCGAAGCCTTGCCTGAAGAGGTCTCTTCCGGGGCCGCAGGTCTGGCCTCTGCTGTCACCTGCGACACTTCGCGAACAACCATTGACGGCGTTCCTGACGTGAACTCCAACGGCGTGACCTTTTCCTCAATTAACTTTGCCGAATCAGGTCAATCCCCTCTGGCCTTTGCTCTCGAACAATTCGCGACTTCATCACCGCTGGCGGATAACGATGTCAACAAGTTTCAGAACGAGCTGAATGTTTACCTTGCTACCGAGGCGGGTATCAGGGCGGCTGGAGGAAACCTTGCTATCAAGGTGCCCAAGTTCTTCTTGCAATTCCAGATTGCGCGAATTCAGCAGGCACAGGGCGCTGTGTCTGACATCCCTGGCATGACCGTGGATCATCAGCTCGGAAAGGTTGTCAAGAATGCAGCCGGAGAAGACCAGGCTCTCATTGACCAAGTGAACGAATTGGCTGTTAACTTGAACTAAGTGCCATGCCAACACATGCAGTATAATAATACAAATGGTCCTAATTTTCATCCAACCCAATGTTTGTACAAGTGACTCCCACATAGCCAATCGTTATAAAAATACATCCCATCACAACAATTAGAGAGGAGAATGAAATACGCTAGAAACATCCCCAAAAACACCGGCATTCATCATGACCCAAGCGCCAAAGAAATGATTTTACGAAGAGCCCCGGAACCAAGGCTGAGGGTCCTGCTCGTGCCTGTCACCCCCAATGGCCTTCCACCAAGTATCGGTACTCCAGCGGATAATACGCTCAGCCGAGCCCAAAGGAGTAGCAGCGGGACGCACGTCGAGGAAGAAAACAGGCTCGCCGTCAGCCTCAGGCTCGCCAGAGTAGTAGTCGATGATGTATCGAATCTCCTTCTTCTGTCCGTTGACCTCTCGTCCGACGTACCAGTCGTGTCGGTCGAAAGGGGGCTCGGTGCTGGAAACAAGTTAGTCAAGAAATCGCATGTATAATAGAAATAACGAAAACTTACCCATACTTGGAGGGGTAAACCCAGCCCAAGACCTGCATCATATAAGCCTTGGGAGTGAGCTCCTTAGGCCGACCCTGGAATCGAATAAGGCTTGGCTCAGTATCAACGCCATCCCAGTGCTTGTTCAGCTCCTCTGGAACATGGCCTTCGCCTCTCTTGCAGATTTGCCAGCCCTTGTAGAGACCCCGCGCAAATCGTTGCTCCCAACCAAGAATTTCCTGCCATGCGCCCTCATTCAGGAAGTTGTGCACCGAAACCATGCCCTCGACGGCAGTAATATCGGTATCAGTGTAACCCTTGCGCAGGAGCGCATTGTACATTTGCTGAGGTGAAGGGTACTCCCAGTTGCCATCACCAGAGCCCTTGGGAATGGTTGACTCATCTCGGCTAGTCGGCAAAGCGAATTCCTGGTTAGGCGCAGGCTTCTGGGAGAGATCGGGGAACATGTAGTTGAGAGGGTTGAGCTGGGAGATCAGAGACTTGGGCTGCTCCTCGTTTCGGGCACTGTGAGGGACAGGGCATCCTGAAGTAGACGGGATCTGGGCAGGCTTGGGTTTGGCAGTAGGATTCAAAGCGTCGGCCGACTTTTGGTGCATAGGACAACCGGGCTGTAGAATGGTTAGTATATTAACAAAAAATCTCAAGAATGTGAGCGCACTGGAGGAGCCTTGTTGGTAGTCGCTGGATGACCAGCAGGAACCGCAACAGCGGGAGCTTCGTCTGCCCAAAACCAACCCATTGTTAATAGTTATGAAGTATTGTTATATCGTTTGATAGAGAGTCCAAGAGAGAAAAGGTATTGGCCTCAAAAGCGCAATATTTGGAAAAATCGAAAATGTCGTTGGCGATGATGACAAGATCAAAGAATTGGAGAATGGGGAAATGGATGAGCAAGAAATTCCCAAAAATGGATGCTTTATTATTATCGCCTATCAAAAAATTTGAGTTAGCAAAAGAGGCAAGACCGGGGCAAACCGCGCCAAGTGCTTCCCACTTTCCTTGCAAGTCCCGTTCTCCAGCAAGAAATGTTGCTGCTTTTTGTCAGCGTCGCACGTGCCTTTCCGAGTTGTTCCCGAGAAAGAATTAAAAGTCTTGAAGAGTTAATCGATAAGCCAATGATAATGAATGCGTACTTTATACGTCACTTTTTTGCATTTAGAAGCTCGACGTCACTAACACTATTCCTTAGCTCGTACCAGGGGATAGCGGGCATCCCTGTAACCAAGTCGTTGCATCATTAATGTTAGCACATGCAAAAGTATTTGTCGCTCTTTAATACCTTCAAACTACCTACTCTCTTCTCAATCCTCGAATGCGATCCTCTCTAACCTCCTCTCGAATATGAGAGTGTTCGCGCCTATTCAATTCTTCAACAAGACACTTCCTCCGTCGCGATGAGAGCTGGCCCTTTCATAGGCCGCTTTTTCGTGCATCCGGGCCTCCGAACATGTCCGAATGTCAGGCCCAACATCTCGATCCTTAGCCGTCGATTCGCTTCACAAAGCTCACGCCATCCTCGATTTACAAAATGGTCTTCACCTACAAGGAAAAGAATAGCATTGCATGCATCAGGTGGTGCGGCGGCACTAGGAACAGCTGCTTTTGTCGAATTGTCGCAACAAGAAAATGGCAATGATCAAGAAACCGGAGAAAAACGCATGCTCGAAGCGTCACGAGCTGAAGTGAGAAAGGGCGTTCGAGCTGATTCTCGAGGCCTCACGCGAGTGGGAGAGCGTATCAAATACTTGATCGATCTTCTGATTATCGAACCTGTCTGCACAGGATTTCGTTTTCTACAGCTTGTCGTTATCTTCGTACCCGTCATTATCACGACTCCTGCCATTTACTTTGGAAGCCGACAACCTGATAGAGACAATGAGCGATCAGGGACACTCTGGTGGTATGGCTTTCTGGTCAATGAGATGGAGCTAGCTGGCCCAGCCTTTATCAAGCTTGGGCAATGGGCTGCTTCACGAACCGACATCTTCCCCACGGAAATGTGTGAGATTATGTCTAAACTTCACTCAAACGCGCCAGCTCATTCACTCCATGCTACGCGCGTGACTGTTGAAGCTGCTTTTGGTGGTCTCCCCTTTGAGGAGATCTTCGAAGAGTTCCACCAGAAACCCCTCGGCGTCGGTGCCATTGCGCAGGTTTACAAGGCCAAATTAAAACCTGGTTTAGCTAAACCTGAGGAAGCCGACCTACACGATTCGTATCCTTTGGCCCAAAATGTGAAGCGCAACGTTGACACCGTCCTGAAGAGTTCGCCACAGAGGATACCGTCATCGTACGTTGCAATCAAGGTGCTGCATCCCCGTGTAGAGAGAACAGTCAGAAGAGACCTTCGAATCATGGGATTTTTTGCCTCGCTCCTCAATCTTATCCCGACTATCGAGTGGCTTTCATTACCAGATGAGGTAACTCAGTTTGGAGAGATGATGAAGCTTCAGCTTGATCTCCGTATAGAGGCCGCAAACCTGGCGACTTTCCGAAATAACTTTAAGGACCGGTCCACTGCTTGGTTCCCATATCCCTACACAGAATACACAACCCGTAACGTTCTGATCGAGGAATACGCCCAGGGTATCCCATTAGCAGACTTTATGGAGAACGGTGGCGGTGTCTTCCAACACGATATCGCTGATGAGGGCCTCGACGCTTTCCTCCGTATGCTGCTGCTCGACAACTTTGTTCACGCAGATTTACATCCTGGCAATATCATGGTACGATTCTACCAATCAGCCCACCCAGACCTACGTCTACGAAAGACAATGACCAAGGCCCATCCTGATGAGGCAGAAGATGTCACTGAGCAAGTGCTCGAGCGACTTCGACCATACCGGCATCGCAAGGATACAAAGGCATGGCAGGAGGAGCTGGCCAAAATTGATGCCGAGGGATTCCGCCCTCAGCTTATCTTTATCGATACAGGATTAGTGACCGAACTCAACGCTGTGAATCGCGAAAACTTCCTCGCCCTTTTCCGCGCTGTTGCTGAGTTTGACGGTTACAAGGCTGGCCATCTTATGTGTGAGCGCTGTCGCCAGCCAGATGCTGTGCTAGACAAGGAGGTTTTTGCTCTCAAGATGCAACATCTCGTTCTCAGTGTCAAAAGCCGTACTTTAGCCCTCGGTAACCTCAAGATTGGCGACATCCTGCAAGAAGTACTCAGCATGGTTCGAAACCACCATGTCCGCCTCGAAGGCGACTTCGTCAACGTGGTTATCAGCATCCTCCTTCTCGAGGGTATCGGTCGCAGCCTGAACCCTGATGTCGATTTACTCAGCAGCTCGCTACCAATTCTTCGACAACTTAGCGCTCAGAGTGGAACAAGTATGGCCAAGCACGGAGACTTTTCCATGTTGGTTGTGTGGCTAGGTCTAGAAGCCAGGCGTTTCATGCAGGCCAGTATTGAAGATGTGAGTCCTGGAAGTAACCCTTTGTGTCACCCAAATACTAATGTCAATCAGGTCGAGCGATGTGTTAAGTACGATCAACTTTCTCCGAATATATAATAGTGTAGAACTCTGTATTAGATCAGAATATCTGGAGCTCACAGCATCACTGGCGCACGGATAGGGTGGTTGTTTTGGATTACAAGAGGCGTGCCTCGGAGTTGAAAAAGAGGTTTAGACGTACAAATCCCCTTGCCTTACACACATACACATACGCTCAACTCATTTCGGACTATAAAGAGAAGCATAAGGGACGAAATTATTAGGTCAGTTTAGGCGACTTAGACAAGACTTATAGGCTATTTTCATAAAGACCGCTATGCTCTTAGTGTAATAGTGTAAGGATACATACATACAGCTATTCTTCAGCCGTTTCGTAGTCTTCATCCGAGCTATTGTACTCTTCCGCTGTGTAGTAGTCTTCATCGTTGTCGTCGTCTTCTAAAACCTTGTTAGGACCCCTCCTACCTTCTATGACCTACGATGGTAGTGGCGATCCCTTTCCTGGTGTCCAGCAACCGCCTCCGCCTCCGAATGCAGAACCGGGTGTCTGTGCCAAATAGTTGGTATGTCTGACCGGCGTGACTGGCTCCACCGAGCCATCAGCGCCCGGTAAAGGAGGCGGCGGCGTATCCGGCCTTGGCACCTGCTGGTTATCCTTCCGGGGTGGCTTGAAATTTACCTCCCTACCCACTCGGTATATATCCTGCAACATCGGATCGAGGATTCCGGCATCTTCGAACTCGAGATACTTCTTATACAACTTGAGAGCTGTCCGGGAATCTTCGATAGAGTCGTGCGTCTCCAATTGGATATCTTCTTTAAGAAGATACCATGCCAAAAAGGCCAGTGATAGCTTTCGTAGTCGAGACTTGAGGAAGAATAATTGGCCCGTATCAATGACCTGGGACTTGGGAATGTGTATGTTGATAACTCGGAAATCTTGACTAAGTCCGTGACCTAAAAATTTGCATCCAAGGTTGAGAAGAATCCACATCTTCTTGTATACCATCTTCAGTGACAGGAGGCTGTGCTTCGAAACTCGAGGATCTAGATCTTGCTCGGTGATTCCCGACCAGGATGTCAAGTAATCCATGATCGGTTCTCTGATGTTGATGTAGTCGTCAATAAATGGCACGCCCTCATCTTCACCTTTGCCGCGGATGATAGATACCCGAGCAAGTGCGTGTACAGTAGGACGGATTATCTCCCTTTCACCATCCGAGTTCATCTCGATCTCAGGTTGTCGCACAGAAACGAACTCGGTGTCGAGCGCGATGATTGTATCTGGGCCAGGGACTTCATCATCAGGGTTGAGCACCCGGTACGTCTTTGTTGCGGGATCTGCGTTCAGACTAAACAATGTCAGTAAAATAAAGCGCAACAACGGGTCGGCACATACTTGAAGTCCTGGTATAGGATGGAGGTGTCAATGTTCTTCTTCCATTCTGTGTCAATTTTGTTGATCTTGTCCTTCACCTGGTATGCAACAACCGAGGGAACCTTCCAAGATGTGTTGAAAGTGAGTGCCTCCTCTGTGCTAACAGATCTCACCAAAAAGTCGTTGAACAAATGCCATCGGCTTTCTTCCTGTGGTTCTGGTTCCACGTGTGCCACTATACTTTTCGTCAGTCATAGGACGGCATTAATGGGGTCTCAAACCTACCATTGACCATTGACACAAGATGTGATTTCTGTGACTGCCCACTCTCAATATTAATGGCCATGCCAGTCAATGAGTACACTTTTATCTTGTGCATGCCTCGCTGGAGATGGAGTTTCAAATCTTCACCCTCATAGCAGAACATTTGTTCTCTATCCACAATGATTCCAATTTCCTCAGGCAGCCACCCTGGGGTTGACCAAAGTGCCCGTTGTTCTTGGTTCGTTATGGCTGTGTTTAGCATAAGCACTTCAGGTATGCTGTGGATACCCTTCTTGGTGGCGATAGTCTGGTACCGTTGACATCGACTACACCATCCCTTAGAAGTTGTCTCCCTTTCGATACTGTTCTTTAAAACTTGAGAGAATGTAATGCATGGTAACTTGGCACCTCGGTTCCCAGCCTGTTTGGTTGCGTTAACTTTTGGTTCATTAGGTGGATCGTCAGAAGAAGAATTGGCCGCTTGAAGCATAAGAGACGAAAGTAGTAGGTCATTTTATGCTCCTTAGACCATAGTTCTTAAACAACTTATTTTTGTAACCTAAGACTTAGGAGGCCAATTTTTCTGCTACCCACTAGATCGTCATACTTACAGCAGAAGTGTAAAGCAAGTCGTTC